TGACGATTCAAACATAAATTCTACTTCAATATATTATATTTTATTTAAAAAATTTAGCATTGCAAGATATGGGTTAAAGACATTTCAAATTAATTATTTAGCGAAATATAAATAGATGACATTTATTAATAAACGTAATAAACATCAAAGTGTGTTTACGTATATAACGTTCTTTTATACACATCCCTTAATGTGTTACTTTTCTTTTTTTTTTTGAATATATCTCTTTCATATAGACTAGCGATCACTAGTGTGGGTGGATTGCATACGAAGACAGATGGCGAATGGCTTTTTTTTTCAACCATTCTCTATACTCTACCACCAACGCTACAGTCGATGCGCTTACCAACTGCTATGATTAACAACTATATAACGATTTGTTTCCTTCCGGCATAGCTGTATAGTAATAGTTGCTTTTAGAATTATTTTCATTTTTTTTATCATGCATACAACGTCAAAGAATAGTATTCAACAACGATCATTAGTTTCACAGATGTGTGTCATCTGTGTGCATTTAACACAACGCTTTTTAGCAGTACGTTTTTTTATTGGATTTTTTACTGGGATTGTTTTTACAATAATTATTTATCATCTTAAAGAACCAATAGATAAACCAAAATTTCGTCCTGATCAATCGAAATTTGAATATGAAAAAAATCAATTTTTATTTGAAGATATTAATACAAGTCAATCATCAATATGGAATAGTTCTTGGGATGGGTATGATAGTTAAATTTTTCAATCCAAAATATTTTTATTTCTTTTTTTTTTTTTTTTTTTTTTTAATTTATTTATTATAGTTTAAAAAGTGAAAATAAATGGTTACGTCATTTTTATTTAATTCGACATGGTCAATATTTTGATAATGCTCGAACATTAGATGAAATGAAATTAACATTACTTGGTAAAGAACAATTAGAATATACAGGCAAACGTTTAAATCAAATGAATATAAAATTTGATCGTCTTATTCATTCTGGTATGGTTCGTGCATTTGAAAGTGCTGTTATAATTAATCAACAACTTAATTCACAACTTGAATTAATTGAAGATAAAAGTTTATCTGAAGGTTTACCTGTTGCACCTATTCCATATGTTGGAATTTCTCAACGAGATGTTGATGTAAGAAAAAAAAAAGAAATTTCTCTTTATTTTTTTTTTCTCTTCTAATTCGAAACAATATTTATTATTATTAGGCTTTTGGTGATAAAGTAAGAATTGATGCAGCTTTTGCAAAACATTTTCATCGAGCAGAGAAAACTCAAAATAAAGATACACATGATATTATTGTATTTCATGCAAATATTTTACGTTATTTTATTTGCAAGTAAGATTAAAATTAAAATTACATTTAGAATCTTTCTTTGTTTTATTATTAGAATTATGCAATTTCCAATTCAAGCATGGTTAAGAATAACATTAAATCATGGTTCAATAACACAAGTAATTATTTTAAGTGATGGAAGTGTTCTAATAAAAGGTATTGGTGATAGTGGTTTTATGCCAGCAAATAAAGTGACATTCTAATCATGATTTATTATTATTATTTGGATATTTATTATAATCTCTATATAATGTTTGTTTTTTGTTTTTGTTGAAAAATATTGTAACAAATTGGTTTTTGCTGTTTTATTTTATATAGGATTGACATAAAAAAGTTATTTGAAAGTGTAGTAATATATAAATATATACATTGAAACATATCATATAGAAGGAAAATTCAGAATAAATAAAAGGTTTTCTTTTATTAACAAACTTGTCTTAGTATATAAATAGTTTATATGATATTTCTTTACATATCAACTTGATTCTTTAGAATTAAATATGACAATTTTTTTGTTCATCTTTCATCATTATAGAGAAAATGATATACTTAGGAAAGATTTAAATAGTTAATTTGTTGGTCTATGAATTATGTGCACTTTTTTTTAAATAGATATTTGAAGCAACTATTACTTAGCAATTAATTGGAAGGTATAGGTTTTCGAAGAAACTACTTAGGGTTATCCAAAAGTAGTAACGGAGGTTCTTTTTTTCTTATAGAAAACTAGAAAAAATTTTCTTTTTTATAAATAGATAGAGCGTCTTTTGCTCTATCTTTCTATGCTATTTGATCACTATTAAACTAGTATCATAATAATAAAATTTCGATAAGAACTATTTTTGTTGAAAACCAGCTGGTAGCATTTAGATCATCATGGATGTGGTATTTTTGCATTCCACTTTATTATCAGATAATATGTTCTATTGAAAAAACAAAATATACCAGAAGATGCAGCGTGAAAAGCTCTACAATTTATAAAGTACTGCTTATTTTATAGTTGTACTTTTTGTTTTAAAAATGAACAAAATTCTGAGTTACCAAGTTTCGACGTGATGAAAACGAGAATTTTTTTGGTAAAAAAAACGAATTTGGTTTTTTTTGTCTTATCATTGTATAATTGCTCTTTGTAAATTGTAGAGCTCTTCACGCTGCATCTTCTGGTATATTTTGTTTTTTCAATAGAACATATTATCTGATAATAAAGTGGAATGCAAAAATACCACATCCATGATGATCTAAAAGCTACCAGCTGATTTTCAACAAAAATAGTTCTTATCGAAATTTTTATTATTATGATACTAGTTTAATAGTGATCAAATAGCATAGAAAGATAGAGCGAAAGACGTTCTGTCTATTCATAAAAAAAGAAATTTTTTTCTAGCTTTCTATTAGAAAAAAAAGAACCT